TTTTGGTTTTGGTTTATGGGTTTTATTTGTAATTTATATGAAAAAATATTACATATACATAACTGTATAATTGTTTAAATGAAATTTAAAAAAGAAAGAGAAAGAAAAAGAGAAAAACAACAAACGCGCAATATTTTTTACTGCTGTCTTAACCATGTAATTCTGCAACATAAACACCATTTCCCACAAGCCCTTGATGAAAGTCTGGTCGCTTTAGCGGCTGTAGTCCAATAAGGTGAGGGTCCTCCCCTATCTCCGCCAATTAGGACTCTGTTGCTGTCACTGCTTATATTTTTAGTAAATTGTTCAGCACCATATGAAACTACAAATATCCCTCCGCCATAGAAACTAGATCGCGCTGGGTCATTTATAATGTTCTAATAGCTGGAAAAGCGCACTCCCCGACTATACAGTGGGGTGTTTGGCTTTTTGGCTATTCGAGAAAACTGATTAATCAACATCATGCTATTTGTGCAGAAATTAAGGAGTCACTTTTATTTTTATCAGCTTAAATCTGGATAAACTAAACCTATGAAATACAGATAATAATATAGTGGCGACAGGAGCACATTATGCTTCGACAGGAGCGTCAGAACCGCTATGTTGAAAAGATAATAATAGGAAGAAAGTAGTCCCTGCCGTCACGGGGGTGTGGGCGAGTCACACTGTATAAATACGCTGGGTTGTCAAACAGCAAAGTTTACTGGACCCTCCATGCAAACTGTCAGCTGAAGACAAAGTGGGGAAACCTTGGAGAGGCTTTCAATTATTTGGGCAGCAGTGGGGGAGAAAAAAAAAATATTTATCATGGTGAAAAAAATGTAAACTATTTCGCATCTGAACCAGTGAGTCGACACATGAAATCGGAGTCCTCGTAAGGGAATTTAAAAAAACAAAGACAAGCTAGTACATCAGTGAAGCTAGGTGAGTAATTAACCGTCAGCCGGTGCGCGGAATTGGTTGCTTTTATGTTCAATAAAAAGGACTAGATGTTACAGTCGCTGATAATGCAAGGACTGTAAAAAAAATTGTATAAACAAATATAAATTTGTTGACAGCGGGATGGTGCTGTTATTGTTCTTCTATTTTCTCTTCTAGAAGCTTTAGCTGTCCGTTAGAGAAGGTGCACAGGGTTGAGCCCCTGGAAAGACACAGCTTTTGTTTTGCCCGAGCCCGTTATAGATTAGCTAAAGCGAGCCTCCCGGAGTGTGTTCAGCTCATGTTTATTTTCCTTCTGCTGTGCTTGCGGGGGTGTTTATGCCGAGAGAGAGAGAGAGGGCTGCCGCCTTCGTTCCTCAGATACTTGGTCGATAGGCTGCTCACCACTTAATTAGCTTTATAATTTAATTTACAGCGACAATTTGCCAGGGAAGGCTTCTCCACTTGCACATCAGCTAAACCAATGTCCTCTCTGGTCCACTGCCTTTTGACTCGCAAATGTCACTAATCCTTTCTCCAGGTAGACCTTAATGCTTTCTTGCAAACATTGAAGACATTTGTCCATGTTTGTCTCTTTTTTTTTAAGGAGGCACATGTGCACAAAATTCCAAACGTAAGGAAAATTAGAGTAGCAGACAGTTTAATTTCTGTTGGTAAGTGAGGGACACGAGTATAAATACCTGCAACATTCATATCTTTATTATAGGCAAGCATGCAGGCCTCCCTCTGCTGCCCTTATACACGGTTTTTTGTTTTTGTTATTTTCATAGCAAATTGTGTAGCTGTGCCGCTTGTCTGGTATATAGTGGATGTTTAGCAGTACTCTGTCAGCGCCGTGCTAATGCCTGCATGTAAACAAAAAAATACCACCCCAGATCCTGCTGATGACCTGACGAGAAGGAAAACAAGACTAGAATCAAGTCTGCCAGTGAAAATGCAAATGTTTCAGTTATGCAAGGTGGTGGGGCTTGTGGCTGTGGAAAGATTGGAGTCTTGTTTGTATTCCTCAGATTTCACTCTGAAAGCCACACATCTGCAGACAACAGCTGAGCTGTTTCTCTAATGTCATTGTTTGACATTGGATCTTGTGTATCTTGCTGCTTGCTTCCCTTTTTTAAAAAAAAAATGAGAGGTGGGAAATGCAGTAGGTGGCTTAGAGGTTTGTGCACTCAAGGTTTTTGGAGACACTGATGATGGCTGTTTCAGGTAAAAGACCGGTGCAGTCCTTTCTTTGTCAGTGTAACTCGTTATTAAGGTGAGGAATTTGCACCTCAGATGATGCAAAAACAGGGCCCCTACTTATAGGCTCATCCTAACAGCCCCCATCTTATCCTTCAATGTCACCCTTTTTTATGCAAGGGGAAAAATGCAAGACCTGTGGTTTTGTGTCACCCCTGCAGCCCTGCGCGCAGGCTGTGCAGCTTTATCTGTAGCAACATTAGAATTGCCTTTAATCTGAGGCATTTTTCTAATCTTAGCTTCCGAATCCCCATCTGGCAGGGAAGTGAATGTGAGTGAATTGTTTGTGTGCATGTAGGAAGGAGGAGGGGAGGAGAGGTGAAGGGAGGGAGATGGGGTGGTGTTGAACACATTCAGTGCATTCTGGGAAACCGTGTTTTATGGAGTCTGCTAACTGTCCTTCCATTTTACACATCTTCTCCGGTACATCCTTTTGTATTATGATATGCATATAATGTTGCTCTCAGTGGGAATGTGCATGGTGACGAGTGGACTCTTGTACGATTGTGTATTAAAGCAAGAAGCACTTCATGCAATTGCATTCAGATTATGCAGGATTTACGAAGCGCACAGCATCTGTTACATCTATCCTGAGGCTGATAAACAGGAAATATAAAAGGGTACATTTTAGGATTGCTGCTTCTGAGTGAGAATTGTGCAGGAGTTATACTTCATATCACTACTGTTATTTAACAAATAAAATAAAATATAATAAATTCCCGTTTTCCTTTTGATTCCTTTTCCCATTGCTTGCACTGGTTGGCAGGTGCATGTATTATGCATTTTTCAATGTTGTTGGAAGCTTGTGACTCCATTAGGATTTTGGCATGTTTTTCTTTTTTCTTTTCTTTTTTGTAATTGGCAGGAATTTCTTCTCTTGTGATGTATTTTGTGTGGGTAATTGTCTTGTATGTAAGACTTCAGGGTTGTTGTTTTTTTTTTTTAAGCACACTATAAAATAATACTCTGATTACAATCCCCCTGTAGCCCCGTCTTTCTGTGTTCCAAAAATACCACAACAACTGTCTGTTGTGAGAGATCAGCAGCAAAACAAATTCCTCATTTTCACACAAAGTTAAATTGCTCTTCTCTTCTTGTCTTCATAGTTGAGGACCTGCCAACACAAAACAGCTTGCAGCCTCTGCCTTCAAGGTGCCTTTACCATGGTGACACTAAAAGAATCAAACACTGCACAATAAGCCAGAGGGGGACAAAAAGATTTGTTGCCACTGCATTGCCTCACTTTCATCTCATCCCCTTTGAACACTTTGTTCCCACACTGGCACTAACCCGGTGCAGACATGCATCTGGAAGTGAAGGTCGCTCTCAACTTCATCGTGTCCTACCTGTACAACAAGCTGCCTCGTCGACGAGCCGACCTGTTTGGCGAGGAGCTGGAGAAGATACTAGTTTCTCGTTTTGAGGGTCACTGGTACCCCGAGGCCCCGCTCAGGGGTTCTGCTTTCCGCTGCATTCACCTGGGTGCGCCGAGGGACCCTGTGGTGGAGTTGGCTGCCAAAAGAAGTGGGCTGGACACGGAGGAGGTGCGGGCAAATGTTCCTGCAGAGTTGAGTGTGTGGATTGACCCTTATGAGGTGTCCTACCAGATTGGAGAGAAGGGTGCGGTGAAAGTGCTCTATCTGGAGTCTCCCCCTGGCCTCGGTTGTGACAGCGAGCCGGCCGAAGGGGTCATCAGAGAGGCCAAAGGAGATGCAGAGACGGAGGATGCCAAGAGCTTGGGCTTTAATCCAGATGCTCAAGTGTTTGTACCAGTTGGAAGTCAGGCATCTCCTTCCTTAATGCCATCCCTCTCCAGTTCTCCCACACCCCTATCTGCCCAGTCCTGCCCTGGAATCTTCAGCTACCCCAGCTCCAGCACACCCACCGATCCCAGCATCCATTCCTCCAACACATCTACTCCTTCTCCTCCGAGCGGCGGTCTGCCCTACCTCTCCACTCAGCAGCCACCTGCTGCTCTTCCTGCTGCCCGTCCACAGCCAATCACCTTCACCACTGCCAGCTTCGCCGCCACCAAATTCGGCTCCACCAAAATGAAGAAGTGCAGTGGGGCCGGGTCGGGGTCCGCAGGCTCTGGTGTCATCGTACCACCATCCCAGAGGATACTCTCCCGCTCTCCTACCACCATCTCAGCACCAGAGCTGCTTAAGCACAAGCCCCTCTCTCTCTCCTTGCACTCCCTCGGGGGTCCCATCCACAGCCAGCTCTCCCCCAACGCCAAAGAGTTTGTCTACCCAGGATCTCCAGGCCCTCTTTACTTTGATGCAGACACCCAGCCCATTCAGCCTCTTACCAGCCCTTTCCAGCCCTCGCACACTATCAACACCCACCCACCCTTTGATCCGTTCTCCAGCCCTCCTGCCCAGAGCGTGGGCATCATTGGCAGCAGTGGAGGGATCTCTTACATGGAGAAGCCACCATTTGTTGAGGGTTTAGGAAGCTACAACCTGCAATATCCCAGCCAGTCTTTCCAGCCTGTCGTGCTGGCCAACTAAGCCTTCATTTGTAATAAGAATTGTTGCAGGAGCAGTTGGGTGTACGGCAATGACCCTCCTGATATTTTCAGTTTTTCTAACAAATTGTTCTAATACTAATGCGTGTTAAGAATTAGTTTTACTACAAAGATTTAAAATGTCCACTAAATATTTAGTGTGATTTGTTTGGTATCTCTATAGCCCTCCCCAAACTCCACCCTGCTCCTACTTCCTGTGTCCATTGCTGTCACTCGTTATTTGTTATTTGTTATTTGTGTTGGCTTGGAATGGGTGCTTCTTTTTTTTGTCCACCTTTTTGCCGTCTCCAATTTCATGTTTATGATTTTGCAATGAATGCTAATGTGAGTTTTTTCCTTTTTTCTTGTTTTTTGGGACTTGTAGTCTAGTGGACTCTAGTATAGCTCCATTTTGCACTGCACTGTCATGCTGTGAAAAAGGACTTTGCCAAGTCCTGCAGGGAACGACGGCTGTGGAAAACTCAGCACTTTGCTCTGCAATCTGCTCTGCCCTACTTGCCACAAATACGGGGTGGGGTTGGTGGAGGGGCTCTGCTCTCTGTGCGTATAGTTCGCTTCTGTTTGGTCGTGGTTCAGAGTGATTGAGAGACTCGTTGCTTGCACAGTGAAGCCCTGTTACCTTTGAAACAACCTGACGCACGGGCATATTTCAAGTCTTGTTGGTGGACGCATGTTGAAAGCAGGTTATCATCAGCTGGAATGGGCACGTGACCGGGGTTTCAATGAAGCAAGGGCAGCTAAGGGGAGAATCGAGGCGTTAAGAGTAATGTAGTTGAATGTATTGTACCTGTCAAGGGAAACTGCAGCTGTGAAGGTCGGCAAAATGGATTTGGGGGTGGGGGGGTACCTTTTTATGAATGTGAAAACAAATGAATCTTTTGAATTTTAAGGCGATAACCATGTGCTGATTAGGCCAGTTGTGCACATAAAGATGCAAATTATGGTTTCACACGTATTCTAACATACACCAGTCAGCAGCAGATGAAGGTGAACAGGCGGGGAAGGATGAGAGGTGAGGGTGGTGGTGGTGGGGGGGAATGCAGCAGCAGCTCAGCGTTAGGGATTGTGATAAATGGCTTAGCATGACTTTGACTATGAAGGAGAGGCTTTCCTCTGCATGGACAGGAGGGAGGGAGGGAGGGAGACGGGAAGAGAGAGAAGCAGCTAGAGGGTTCTGTTGCCCCCTGTGCCATTCAGGGTGTACTGGCTTAGAAAGCAACACTTTAACACCCAGAGCACGTTTCTGATGGGCTTAAATGGTATTGAAGCCAAAGGCTCACTATTCTCTCAGTCCTCTTAAAATTCTCCAGCGATCTCTGCTCCTCCGGCTGTTGCAAAGGAAAAACCAGAATCGTACAGTTCAGGTTGCTCTCTTTATTTTATTTTTTATTTTTTCCCAGCTGCAGTGATGCGAACAGAGATGCAATGAGGAGCGTTCTTCTGTGGCATCTGTCGCGTCACTGGATAGCTTGTCAAAGATCTGATGTTTGTATTGGTGCAGTTTAACAGCGGGGCCTGATGTCATTGTTGGTTCGTCCCTGAAAGAGAAGGGTAACCTCCACATGTCCACGTCCAGCGGTCCAGCACTTTATTACCAGGCTCCCGATGCCGAACCGTTCCTTTGCCCTCCGTTTGGCTGTTGCACATTTTATTCAGATGTCATGAAATGCTTTGGAAACTCCAATGAGCTACATTTGCATCACAAACGGGAAAGAGATGCAGTCAGTCTCACTCTTGGTTGGCTGGTTGTTTAGTTTTTTGTTATTTTGTTAATGTTTTTCAGACTATAGATATTTTTGTACTAGAAGGACCCTTGTCTTGTCCTCACGTTGGTTTTGCAATGTGGCATTACTGTCATATGCAGCAAGCTTTAGTTCTTTTTGTTTAAGAGGGAATGAGTGGGTGAAGTGTACACCTCTGTAAATGTTACAGTTGTGAGGGAAAATGCTTTTTTTTCTTTCCTTTTTGATCTTGAATCTATTTCCACCATTTTATTTTTTTTTTATATATTAGTTTTTGAAAATGATCACTTAAACATTTGTATAAGACATGCAGAGTCCAGGAATATGTGTATAAAAAGTTCTTATGTTGAGATTCTTTGTTTAGTTTCTTACATGCTGAAGTTATTTTTTCAGAAAAATAACATGAATATATGCAAATTGAGACGTAAATAAAGATGTACAGAATAAAGTATTGAATGTTTATTGTACCTTGTACACCATATGTCTAATAAGACGGGTAAATGTAATCATTCTTCAGTTTGCAGTTGGAGTTAGAAATGTTTACAGTGGGTTTGTGTAGGAAAAGATGGCTGATCACCTCTTTCTGTGCTCCGAGGGCAGTCTGACAGCACTCCTCCCCATAGGCATTACATTTAAACCAAAAAAATGTATTTTTTTTCTTTTTTTTTTAATTTAAAGAAATTAATTAGTCCTATTTTCACGTAGCACACACTCTGTATATTATAAACTCCCCAACACTCTTAATTTATCTGCATTTCAATTCCCAGATCTGCTAATATTAAAAAGAACAAAATGTTCCTTCTATCTTTATCGTTTTGTTTTTTGTTTTTTCTTGACTGAGCCACCCTTGCTCCATCAGCCCGATCCTTATGGTACTGATACTATAGCCATAATCCCAGACTGTCTTTACTTACACACCCTTCTCCAATTCAATGAAATGCCATAAGTTTTTAAACAACCCTGATGATTCAAGGGGTTTCTACCTCTCTCCAGTATCTCTCTTCAATAGGAAAGCAACCGGTTTGGGAAAAGATGAAGGAAATGAATGTTGCTCTGAACTGTTGTCAACCCTGGTTTAGATGGCATTAGGTTTTTTTTAATGGTGGAAACATTTGGAGGGATTCTTTGAGTCAAACATTTCTCTGTACCCCTCACATCCTGATTAAAACCTAAATTAAAACAAAAAATCAGCATAGAGGAGATGGTGGTATTAAATTTCCTAATAACACAAGCTGGAGAGTCAGCTCTTAGATATTTGAAAGATGTAACTAAAGGGGGGAAGCACCATAAACCTGAATGCGGGCTGTTCTAAAATCAGGGTTGAGCAGGAATGACGATGGAGACAAGAATTTTGTATTCTGATGTTGTTTTGCTTATATTGATGTTTGCGTTTTACTTTGCACTTTGGGATATTTCATTGTCATAAAATAAATTTATTTTCTATGTAAAAAAAGAAAAAGAAAAAAGTGAATAAACAGTAACATTTAAGAGTAAAATGGATCTAATAAAATGTTCAGATGATGTATAAATAGTGTTTTCTTTCCTGCCTGTATTTTATTATTATTCTTCCTATTTTGTATCTGATCTGTACACCCTGTAGATGTATAATGAATATTTCACTACTGAGATGCAATGACCTGTTTTCTGTGCTGCCCCCTCGGGAATGGGGAGTTACTACTGCAGTTTCTTATTGTATGAGATTCTTTTTTAAGTTTGTAATAAAAACAGATTGGCAAAAAAATTATAAGCATGGAAAAATTAAGCTGATTGTGTCGTCCTCATTTGTGCGTGAGAGTGCGGGGGTGAGTCCTCCTCCTTTGTGGTCTCTGTGTGGGTTCACACCCTCGGTTCGTGCGTGAGAGTCCTGGAGCAGCTCATTGCTCTGATTGCGGTAAACATATTCGAGTGATGTTTGATCAATAATTCAAAGCAGGGATGGAATTCTCAAATGGTGAGCAGCCAGCTTGCTCACCAGCCCACCTCAGCTGGACCCATCCCAGCAGATATTACTTTGCATTTCATCACCTAGCACTCCGTCTGCCTGTCCTGCCCCGTGCTGGTGTCTGTGTACAGCCAGCTGGAAGGTTGGCTTGCTCATGTCGTGGTGTGACAACATGCATAGCTCTGCATCCTCAGCACCGCATCCCTCATTCTCTTTTCATCATCTAGCTATCTTCCCTCCCCCACTCTCCATCTTTACCACTACCTGATCCTTTCCACTGCTTGTCTCCACCTCCTGCTTCCTCGCCGTCTTTGCTCCATCTTCCACACACACACACCCATCCCTCTGGTCTTTAGAGGCTGCTTATGTGTTACGCAATTCTGCTCCCCTGTCTGTCGATGTGATCATTACGCAACATCTCCTACTCTGCTGGAATACTGATGAGCAGCAGGAGAGAGGTAATGGAGGGACAATAAAAAGGGGGGAAAAAAAGATGTGCACGCAGGGGGATTGTGTTTGTGTGTGTGTGTGTGTGTGCAAGCGCATCAAGGATGAGGACGATGCCTTCATTTATCCACCAGCTCCTTGTGTTACCCGACGTTTGTCACACAGCCGCCGCAGCTGGTCAGCAAATCAGGCAAGGTCAAAAAGACAAGCCCACGTGTCGGTAAAACTCCAAATTTATTTCATATGCATAATACAAGATACAATTAGGACACGATTCTGCAGTTGCATGTATCCAATACATGATAGGGACAATACAAAAATGAGAAAAAAAACCCCACATTTATATAAAAATCAGAACAGAAAGCCAAAAACACCACAAGTCTTTAAAAATGTTTCCAGAAAGAGATTTAAAATGGTTTTCCGGGAGCTACTTCAAATAAGTAAACAAGGGCACGGTGATGTTGATGCGAAGCATCTCAAACCAGTGTCAAGAGTTTCAAGCAATAACCTTAAAACTGAGGTTTAGACTGGAGATCTAGTCGTGCTGCTCTGAGCACACCTACAAACACCTGTGCGCATGCACACTTGTGCCAGATGTTCTCTGTCAATTATTTGTGCATTTCCAGGATTCTAGTTTTCCTTAAATGTTACCCAAAAGTGGCACAAAGGGTTTTAGAAGTGCAGGAGCCATTTTTTGTCAGTAGGTGGCAGAAGACGCGCCTACATCCAAAAGTCATAACTGCAGGTCTGCATGCAGAGAATTGGGGAAAAACTCCAATCTCTTTAAAAAGAAAAATGATTTCATAAGGAACTTCACATCAAACAGAAACTGCTACATACTTTATGCATCACTATACAAAATATGATCTTGATTTTATTGGCTTCTAAAAACCTCTCTTGGCCAGTACCAGTTTTTTCATTTTAAATGTCCAAGTTTGCATCCATCAGCTAGACTGATGTCTAAAGCTCAGTGCAGTCGATGTGACAGAAAAAAACCCCAAGAACCAGCTGTTACAATACACTATCAGGAAACATAAATGATCACATTAGCAATCAAGAAAAAAAAAAAAAAAGCACCATCTGATTCCTGTGTATCCAGATATAGATCAATCTATAGCAAATTTTTTAAAAAAAGATAATAATAATCCACAGTGATTAAAAGATGCTGCTTTCAGCTGTTTTCACCACAAGGTCAAGCGCTGGCTGCACAAGGAAAGGCGGTGCTGTCATAAACAAAAGGACATCACAGCAAAGATGCTCTGCTTTTTTTTCTTTTTTTTTTAACTGTTCTGCACAACACACCATCAGCCTACGTCACCCCCCCAAAAAAACCAAAGAGCTCTAATTTTCGGTAATGGTTTACAGACATAAGTACACTTGGTATAAAACTTTTTTTCTTTTTAAAAAAAACAAAACAAACAAACAAGGAACAGAGAGACAGACAGGTTCACTGGGTTTCATGCATTAAGATCCCGGACTACAGAGAAGTGAGAACTGGAAGCACGAATGACTTTGGGGCATTTCTATTTAGTACATCATAGTAAGTATACATACAACATCACTACTGAAATCAAACTAGCATTACATAACAGAGTATTATTGCCACATTTATTTTCTTTCCAGGATTATGAGCACAAGCTGGCTGATAAAAGTTTAAAAAAAATTTATAAGTTTGAGATACAGAGTCCCATAACAGTCTGCAACATATTTACTAATTAAGATTCACACTCAGAAGCTTTGGCGGAAAGAACTCAGTTTATAAAGTCGGATTTAAGGTTTTGCCAAATGGAACTAAGCTGCTTTGTACGTGTTCTTTGCTTCAACCAACACTTTGTAGCCGTGCTCCATGTTTTACCTTTCACAGTAGCAAGTGTTGGACGAGGTAAAGGAAAGTGCACCCTGTCTTTTGTGTGTTCACAACACAACACCCCCCCAACCCAAAAAATAAAGCCCACATTACTATATAAACCTGTTTTTAAAACAAACATCCAAAAGCACAGTTTACCCTTTGAATTCCCTGCTTTGTCATTGGTTTCATTATATAGGTATTGTTCCTAAGGAGAAATAAAATTATTGTTTGTACATCACAATCAACAAATGCATCATTACCCAAGAATAAATACAGCACTCATTCAACTATTTGGCAAATATAAGGAATATTGTAGGGTTAATAAAGACACAGAGTCCCCGTCTTAGAAAAATAAAGACCAGGAGACATATTTACAAGGTTCAGAAACAGCCGACTTTGAGCCTGCTTAAGATAAAAAACAAAAAGCAACCAATCAATCCAGTCCTCTCGACACCATTAGGCAGGCAGTGACTCTAGCACACTAACTGCAGTGTACAGTAAATAAACATCCCAACAGCACTGTGAAAAACTCTTTAACCCACCCCTCATTTCTTTATATTTTGCTTTCAAGGAGCCACATTTTGTTATTGTTTAAAGTAGTATTGAGCAATAGTTCTCCAGGATTTCTAAAAAGCTCTTTCAAAGTTGTTTTGTTTTGTTAACACTTTTTCACTATTCCAAAGAAAGATTTTAAATTGTATTTTTGTTACTAGCAGTTGTCACAAAACACATACTTGTTTTAATTTTTTGTTGAATCTACGCAAAAGATCAAAAGTAACAGTTTGATGGGCATTAAACAGTTTTCAGATCTTGTTACTATTGATGAAATTATGAAGGCAGAAAAGTACTGTTAGATTTTGAGTCATCATACAATACTATGTGGAAAGTGTCATAATTGGAAACAGCTTTATTTTTCAGAATGGCATCTCAAACAACGCAGTGAAAGCATACCTGAATAGAAAAACATCAGTCATGGATTGGCCTCCCCAGAGCTCAGACCTCAGCATTATTGAAGCAGTGTAGGATCATGTTGACAGAGAACATGACAGAAAAGCAGAAACATCCAAAGAAGAGCTTAAAATGTCCTGGAGAACTATTCCTGAAGACGACTTAACGAAATGAGAAGAAAGCTGCCAAAGAGAGATCAGGAAGGGTTGAAGAATAAGGTGAACCTTCCAAATATCAACTTTCAAGCTGGTTAGAATAATACAAACTCTGTGTTTGTCTTAGATACTGTATTTCCATGTATGTCAATAAAATCCTGCATCTATATCCCACTTTATGAGCAAAATTTTAGGGAATGAAGGGTGGCACAAGACACATGCGTAGTACTGTACATGTGAACATACCCCTCTACAATCAAAGGCCTGGGAGATCAAATGCACAGCATGCCTTTAACAGTAACCCACAGATAGAAACTACTACTCTTTCCCCATATATAAAACAATCTGCTCCTTCACTGAATCTTTGAGTCTCTGGAAGCTGATCTTAGTAGAAAAAAAGATGTTAAAAATCACAGAAGCTTTAAACTTTAGACCTACTTTGCATTTTCATTAGTATGCTACCATTAAAACAGCTTCCACTGTGATCATTGTTAATAAGGTAGACAGCTGCTACCAGCTTAATCTCCACACACCATGTGTGTGTTTTCTTTTCTGTTTTTTAATGAAAAAGTGCAAAATGGATTATAGACTATAAAAATGGTGCAGAGAGATGATTATATATACATAACAGTTGTTTTTAAACAGTGTGCAGAGGCGTGCTTGTGTGACGGAAGAACTCTGACTGGACCACACCTTTCCTGAGGTCTCCCTCCTCTTACCCTCTCCAGACAGGAAGTACCTCCTTGAACCTGACTCCGGCTCATTTTTCATCTGTTCCTCTCCTACACTGTGCAACTTCACTAAATATTCTTCTTCTTCTGAGCCTCCTAATTAAGTGCAACACAAGGAAAACAGGAGGAGTGCATATGTGCACCTTTCTAAATATGCAACTTCTGACGGACGCTACTCGTGTTTTGGCCCATTAAGGTGTGCTGCGCTCTGACGGAAACTGCTGTATCGAATTTGAAAGTGTGCGATTCTTTCTAACCGACCCGCTCTTTTCATGTCGCTTGACTCTCTTTGAACTTTTCTCGAGACGACCATATTTTCCATGTTTGACCATGGGAGAATCCAGAACAGTCCACTTCCTCTCCGAGTGTAGGAGCCAGGCGCTCTCCACAGGCCTTCCTGTGACCACCGCTCCCATCATGCCTCACTGCCTGCCAGTGTGCATCCAAAACTCCAGCATAGAAACTGGAGCAGAACACAGTGACTGGAGGTCAGCAAAGACAACAGTGCAAATTTAGATTCCTTAGGTGTTTATATCTGTGTTGAAATTTGCGGGGAAGGGAGTTCTGCTTTTGTCTCGTCATGGGTTTTATTGTGAGTTTTCTATTTTTCCTTTTTTCTGTTATTTATTTATTTTTTTTACAGTGGGCCGTACTTTGCTTCGTATCGAGCCAGGACGTTCTTACAGCGACCGCAGTCCTTCCGCATCTCAGCCACTTGCTGCCTCAGAGCAGCATTTTCACGCTCCAGGAAGGATGCACGCACGGTGATCTGGTTCTCCTTAAGGCGGCGTGCATCACGGGAACGCTTCGCTGCCAGATTGTTCTTCTTTCTTCTCGACCAGTACTTCTCATCCTAGAGGAATGAAAAGGGACAGAAAGAAGAGTTAAACCTGCCCACATAAAAGAAGGGATTGGATTGAGGAGATCATCAGCTCAATTCGAATGTTTTATTGGACTAATGTAATCACATAGAAACACAAACTAGCTGATGGAGTTGGAGCTTAAACATCCTCAAACCCAATTTTGATAAATGCATTTTTCTGACAACTGAACAAGATGAAAAGAGTGGAAATTTTCTAAATATATGTCATACTTAATCTGTATGACATATATTAACTAGTTTTTACAACAGTGTTTTTTCAGACTGGAGTGAACTGATCTGAACTGCAGTTTGGGAAGAAGAAAATTTGATTCCACTGACCTTCTGCTCATCGGGAACAAAAACCTTCTTGGCCTTCTTGATCATCGGCTGCGGCTTCAGCTCCTCCTGGGAGAACCTGTGCTTGCGAGGGTTGAACAGCTCACCCCCGGGCACGCTGGACAGGACCAGGTCTGTGGGATCTGGCTGGAAATTAATGTCCACCTCAATGGCGTCTGGGTCGATCGGGGAGGGCGTGTTACGTTCTGCAGAGTCCAGCAGGGGAAAAAGTAAGCTTGGACACAAGACAGGTAAATGGCAATGAACCAGGTGGCCAGACTTCACACCACTACTGTGAAACCTTTTAGGGAGCTATGTAGGCTTCATTGCTCTCAGCCGCTGATCCCACAAAGACATTTTATCATTGCAAACACTCATTTTTAAAAAAAAACAAACAAACAAACTGAGGGTTATACAAAAGAAGCACAAGTCTTTGTGGGAATAATAACCATACCTACATAAAACAATTATAAAACATAGTAAAACAAATAAGTTCACTACATGCCACACTGGAAAAAAGGCTTTAAAAGTTTCTGTGCAGCTCAAATGAAAGGTGTCTAAGTTGGACACCTCCCAAAAATACATTTAAAAAATATTTCCATCACTGCTTCTGTGTCAGTTTGTTAACATGTGATTAAGCTGCCTGCAGTGAAATTATTTGACTATATTAGCATTGAAGACCTAGATGAAAATTATATGCAAAGATCTGCCTTTCACCGCATCACTTTAGCAGAGTAATAATGCACAGAAATAGTTGGGCAAGCAACAAAATCTGTATAAGGTATGTCCTACTGCCAAATGTTCTGACATACCACATGTTATAAAGTTGACGATATTCCTTATTTAATCCAGCCTGTCCCGGTTGTCATGAGGTGAGAGGCAGGCTAAACCTGGGACTGGTCACCAGTCTGTCACAGAGCTTGTTTGGCCAGATTTGGTAACATTTATTAATCATTATGACTTAGGTAGCCATGCCAGCATTGACATTCTTAGACCAAACTAAATAAAACTAGAGCTGCATAACTGAGAGGGAATAAGTTTTCATCGGGTGTTAATGTTTAACACATGCAGTAAATCTGCTCACCTGCTTTCTTTACTTCTGCTTTTGGCGTTGCCTCCTCAGGCAAAGATTCCTCTTTTTGCTCTTCCTCTTCCTCTTCTTCTCCTTCTTCTTCTTCTTCTTCTAGCTTAGCCGGTTGTAACGTGGTGACTGTCACAGGTTCCTCTGGATCTGGGGTAGCCATGGAGGCAGAGGGGGGAGATGATGAGTCTGCAGTAACAGGAGTAGTGGGAGTAGCTGTTTCAGTAGTAGTAGGAGTAGGAGTGGTGGTGGTAGCTCCTGCAATAGCCTTGGGAATGTCTTTGCCTTTGTCTTCAACTGTCAGTGTCTTCTGCAGCTCCTCCTCCTCCAGGGTCACAGGGATACCGTTCTCCAGGAGGAACTCATCCAAGTCCATGTACTCCAAGTGGAATGTCTCCCCATCATACGGAATGGTCTTCTCCCAAATGGCTGGGGTCAGGGAGGCTGATACCCCTCCACTGCCCCCACTTCCACCACCACCTCCTCTGGAGCCTCCACCAGCATTGGTTGCCACAGCCCCTCCTCCATCCACATCTTCAGATGAGCACAACTTCTCCTTCTCTATTTCTACATTAAAGACATAAAGCATAAAAAGAAAAAGTGAAATTAATGGCTGCTTGCTGAAAATGAACAGTTCCCTTGTCCAAATATTATTCAGTAGTAGAGGGTGTATCAATCTAAAGGACAACAGTATCAACAAGATAGAGGATCGAAACAAAGTATCAATCCTAAGTTCAGTATATAACCCACTGAGTTTATTATTTTTTGGAAACAAAAAAAAAATAAGCAAAATATATATGTAACATTCAAGGTCTAAAAAAAAACAGTTTTAACAAACATGAAAAGTTGAAAGGCATGTATTAATTACAAAAAAATCCCAGTCATTAAAATGTGTTGCAAATTGGTGATGACCTCATGAGTAATGACACACTACTCTCTGCTACACAAGTTGCCTTTGTAAGTATCGCTATTGGCGATACTGGACCTGTATTTACTTGGGTGTTGAATGGACACCAAAATGCAGCATGGTACAACATTATTCAGGAGACACGGTAGGAAAGTGAAATTATGAATGAGAAGAGGCTGGGTGGAAAGGGGTGGTGGTGATGTGACACCTGACAAACAAGTGGATAAACAAAGGCGGGCTACATCCAAGAAGCCCTACAAGCGGTCTGACAGACTGAGGCAGAGAGAGGGAGTAGATGCTAAAATGAAAGAAGATAGTCAGAAAACACCATCACCATCAGCCAGGACCAAAGAAAAGTAGCTCGGGCTGTGAAACCCCAGGGAGTCCGCTCTGTCCTGACTGTTTCCAGCCTGGTTTAGCTCCTTTATTTTCAGCGCAGAGGAGCAGGAACTTTTTGTTCTTCATCGTTTGCTCCACGCAACAGAGGGCATGTGAGCCAAAACCACAACCACACGTTTTAGGCGAAACCCCAGACGCTGATTACTACCCAGCCTTAAAACCTATATACTCGTGGTTCATTTACAAGCTGGAAAACTGGGCAGCATTTTAATTTTAATTT